CCTAAGGAAAGACCCTGCAATAGAGACAATGCCAGAGTGAGCCAGGGAACACAGAAACTCCTGTATGCAGAGGAGAAGTCACGTCTTCTCCGCAATCCTCGGCGCCGCATCCCCGCATGCCAACAAATGCGGCTGGACTGGGTGAGTTCCCGTTCTCCCCTCCACTTTTTCGCACACGGGCGCCAACAAATTCGTTAGTCGCTGGCGTCGAATGCCTCTCGTCACAATGGAAAAAGGGGCGGGGCGGAGGAAGTGCAATGAAGCATGGCGCAGAATTGTTCGGATGAATTGGCGGGTGGCTTCGCGTAGTATGGAGCGTTCGCCTGCGACTCTCACGCAATTGAAAACCATTCTTTATATCCTCGTGCCGGCGACCTAAAAAGGCTAGTTGGCATATTGACCATAACCTCTCTTTGAGTTTAAAGTACCGCTACTTTGAGCATACACGACTTAATAGTTTTTTGCTTTTTGCTGCACACTTAGAACGTTCTGTATGTTTGTGTAGATTAATAAATTCTGCTTCTGCTAATCGTGATTTAGCTACGAATCAGTGTCACTTTTAGCAAGAAAAGCCACAAAAGCGCAGATTTCCGTGGCGGGGGAGATGTGCTGTGTCTTTAAATGAATTGAAGCGGTCTGGGATGGATAGATTAACTTTTTGCTAATAGTTAACAAAATGTTCGTAAGAAACATAATACAATAGTAATGAGGGACTCTGACATCAACTGGGAGACAAACCCTATATCAAGTGAGCGATGTAACAGATTCCTTACTAATAAAGTTGCTGACAACTTCGTAATTCAAAAGATAGAGGGGGGGGGGACTAGAAGGACAGCTATACTGGACCTAATTATTGCTAACAGAGAAGAAATTATAGAGGGAGTTGAGGTTGCAGGACCATTGGGGGAGGCTGACCGTGTTGGAATTCAATATAATGCAGACACAGGAATTAGAACATAATCAAACCAGTGTCTTAGACTTTAAAAGAACCGATTTCAACAAACTTAGAGTGAATTTGGGAAGGAGTCTGAGTGTAATATTAAAGGGGAAAACAACCCACTCTAAAAACAATTATTAAAGCGCAGTGCAGCATAGTACCTCTGAAAAAGAAAAATAAGAACTCTAAGAAGAAACCGTGATAGCATAGAGAATGCTATGAAAGGCAAAAAGGATAAGTATAAAAAATGGAAAGAAGGACACATAAGGCAGAATCCCAGCATGTAGCCCAAATCTGCAAAGATGAAATGCGGAAATTTAAGGCTCAGAATGCACTGACTAATAACAAATGTCCAAAATATTTTTTTGCGTTTATTTCACCATATAAAAAGCCAAGGAAACAATTAGTCCACTAATGGGAGACAATGGTAAGAAAGTGACAGGCAGCAGACAGAGAGCGCAGAGCTGCTTAATTCTTATTTGCATTTGTCTTTATGCAAAAAAAATAGCCCAACCAACCAGAAACAACTGTAAAAGACAGACTAGGAATACTAATTAAATTAGGCAATAAAATGGTAATAGAACACCTGTCCATTCTAAACGAATTCAAATCATCAGGTTGTGATGGATTACATCCCAGAGTTCTGAAGGAGCTGGCAGTCATGATCTCAGAACCATTGCAATGTTTCCCCCTTTGTGGAGTTGGGGTGAATGTGACCTGCACATGACGCACTCAGCCCACAGGCCACCAGTTTGACACCTCTGTTTTAAGTGGTCTTACTCTCACTTATCAATGAAATAGTTTTTTTGAGCAATATACAGTTAGTCCTCTAAGTAGTTACAACAGTTCATTTAGTGACCATTTGACCATGGCACTGGGAAAAGTTAAGTAAAAAGTTACTTAAGATGTTTTTTCACACTTATGACTGTTGCAGCATCCTCATGATCAAAATTCAGATACCTGGCAACTGACTCATACTTATGAGAGTTGCAGTGTCGTGAGTCATCTGATCACATGTTGTGACCTTCTGACAAGCAAAATGAATGGGGAAGCCAGATTCATTTAACATTCTTGCTATTAACACTGCAGTGATTCACTTAACTGTTGTTGCAAGAGAAGTTGTAAAATAGGGCAAAATTCACTTAACAACTTAGCAACAAAAAAAATAGGCTCAGTTGTGGTTGTAAGTTGAGGACTGCCTGAATTTTAACTGAAGACTGATGAAACTTGGTTGTAGAACTGATTGTATTTGTATCTAATAGACAAGCAAAGGACAATATCTTCCTAGATAAATTTTCTTTATGGCTCTAGGACCCTCTGTACGTACTGAATTGACTCCATTTCCTTTTCTAGACCCTCCAATTATTAAATATTCTTTGATTTTTGAGCATCATTGGTATTTTAAAAATTGCTACTAAAGCTTGGAACTAATTAGGACAATATAAACCTTTAATGTGGTATAGTGCTGAATAGTCTCTGCAGAAATTCTATAGTGCAATTTAATGGCTACCTTTTATGTCAACTAGAGCAGTGGTTCTCAACCTGGGGGTTGGGACCCCTTTGGGGGTCAAACAACCTTTTCACAGGGGACACCTAAGACCATCAGAAAACACATATTTTCAAAAAAAATACGGAAAACATAAAATAATTTTATGGTTGTGGGTCACCACAACATGAGGAACTGTATTAAAGGGTCGCAGCATTAGGAAGTTTGAGACCCACTGAACTAGAGCTTCCAAATCATTTTCAAAAGTAGTTTTATATAAAACACAGTGTCCTATAATATATGTGAATACATGCATAATTCTGTATTTATTTATTTATCTTGTCATGTTTAAACATAACATGTTTATATTAGAGATACAAACCCTTTGAGCTGTATGCAATGTAATTTCATTTTAATGTATGCTGATTAGTATCTATTCAAAGCAATGGTGGGTTCTGGATTCCAGTGCACCGGGTATGGTGAAACAAAGCCGGGTGTCTACCATATGCACGCGCGCAGCGCATGCATGTGTACTTACCGCCTGCGATGCTCCAGCTGCTCAGCAGAGCATCGCACAGGTGCTGTACGCTCCATGCACAGATGCCTCAATTAGCTCAAATACAGGTAAGGAGGGCAGGTGGACCCTCCGGAGCATCATACCGGAAAAGTACCTAGTGGTCCCAGCAGGCACCGGTACACCTGTACCAGGGTGTAGCAATTATATCCCACCACTGATTCAAAATGACAATAAAGTGTTCTGTTCTATTCTAGTCTAATCTAACTGTGCTTTATATTGTAGGAAGTTAGCACCCACCCCTTTCCTAGAAAGATGAAATATTCTAGGAAATATTGAAAAGGCAGAAAATTATATTTTCCTGGGTAAGAAATGGAGAAACATGTTTTTAAGCAGGAAACAGACTCACTCTTAATAGCCCCCACTTTTCCTTAATGGCCCATTAAAATGCCCAAGCCAGTCTATTCTACATAATAAAGAATTCTTCCCTTCAGCTCCAGGGTGATGGGATTAAAGCATGATAGCATTAGCCTTCCACAGAAACTCACTACATGGCATCTGGAAACTCAAACTTGGTCCCATGAGAGTCTGACAACCTATCAGAATACATTTCTTACACAGGAACAGGAAACAGAGAGGTGAGGCCAAATAGAGAGTATAAAGCCAGGAATTTTCAGCCCTTCTGTCTCTTTCTTCTTCTTCACCCAACATTGAAGCATGTGATCCCCTTTTCTATTCAGAACTCAAGCCATATGGTCCTGTCCACCATTAAACCATCTTTCCAAGCAGCCTCCATGTCTCCAGTGTCTTTTTCCCCACTTGGAACTGAACCCAGAAGATATTTCTTCCAACAATATAAAACTACTAATTTAAAAAAATACTCAGACTATTATGACTAGGCTATGTGTGCCCATTTCTTCCAATACTAGTTGTCTTACTGTGGCCAGAAACTCTTTCGGAAGAATACCAGTGACATGTTTATAAACCAACGGAATCACTCAAGGCCCCCCTGCCAATTTAAGCAAGCAGGCACCTATATTGGACAACAACAATATATGAAGATGCTGAAAGTGGATAATTTTAGTGGCAACCAGACAATCACTGACTGCGTGGGTCATTGTTTCAGAGGTATTTCCTTACCAGAGTTCTCAATGCCTTCCACAAAGAAAGAAATTCTAATGTACTGCCTTCACCAGAAAAAATGGCATACATTCAGAAATGTATATACCTTGAAAATAACCCATGTTGAATTGTGTAGCAGTCAAACATCAGCACGTTTTTATGTTTTATGACATTTTATAATGTGTCATAAACAGCTTGATGATATTTTATGTCATAAAATGTTTTATAAAATTTGCCAAGTTTCAATGCATGGGAGTCATGGATTTTGGAGGCATTCTAACAGCCCATTTGAGATAACTTAGTTCAAAAATCGTTGTCCTAATATGCACAATTAAAGAGTATGGTAACAAAAATAGAAAAAAACCACTGTGCTTTATTGATTATACAAATAATTTTTATTGCATAAATCACATTAGTAACAATCAGTGCAACAGCTTATGTTTCTAGAGTTGTGGGTGATCCATCGCTGGGGGTTTTCAAGAAAAGATTGGACAGCCATTTGTCTATGACAGTATAAGTTCTGCCTTGGACAAGTGTTAGACTAGAAGATCTCTAAGGTCCCTTCCAGTCCTATGAGTCTATGCTTTTATAATTCTTATATACTTAGGAAAATGGAAATTTTAGAACATCCACTAGTTTTTATTTAAAACTCATACACAAGTCAGGGAGCCACAAATTTGCAAAGGATTGAGACAAAACTGCATATTGTCCTTGTCCTATTACAAATAGTATTTGAGATATAAGTTGTTATTTACTATCTGTTTGAAGTTATGATAGACACACACACCCTCTAAGCTACTGATGATCTTCTTTCAAAGTTATAGTGGCCTTATGCCTGACTGATCACAGGAACACTGCAATGCCCCCCACTTCCCTATCGCACCCTGCTGGGTCTCTACAGGCCTTGGGCCTATTCCCCACCCTTACCATCACATACTTACCTTTTATAGATCTCTGGATCTCATGTTGCAGAAGGCAACTCATTCCTGGCTGCCTTCCAGAAGTGACCACCACTTTGAGCATGCCGAAATTCCTTGCAGAAATGTAGCCAGGTTCAGAAAGCTAGCCCATGGCTTAGCATTGCAAGTTCTGAACAATCTTAATTATCGAAGCACACATTCTTATACAAACCTAGAGCCTCATTAGGATACGCCAGTTCCGTTTGGAAGGAACGCTATCCGGGGCCCAGGGGGGTGATCGGGCCCCCTCTTTCACTCCTAAACGAGTGGGTCTACAATTCTTTTGATACTTGCCTGCAGGCATCTTCTTTCTCAGCTGGCATAATTTTTTATTAACTTGTCCTGTCCCTGGTCAGATTCTTGGATCGATGGTGTCCTCCGGATGCCCAAGAGAGGTCATCAGCCTTCTTCCAGAGAAAGGTCTCTGTGGCGCCTGAAGATGGGCGAGATGGCCTCGATGGGGCACCGGTTGGTCCATTCTGTCCTCAGAGAAATATCGCTCTAAGTCCTGTGCCACGGTCGCCAGAATATGTTGCAGAAAATGACAGGCTTTAGACTTCTCAGGATACAGGAAAAGTTTATTTGGCAGCCAGGTTCAGAAAGCTAGCCCATGGCTAGCATTGCAAGTTCTGAACAACCTTAATTATCGAAGCACGCATTCTTATACATTCTCAAAAGCATTGCAACACGGAAATGCTTAACACATTTCTTAGTGGTTACCTTGAGGAGAAAACCTTATAAGGTTTATGGAGTACGTGTTATTAACGAACTTTAATTGAACCTTGGACTTTTGACATCTTGTGGTTAGGCACTGGCTTCCTGTTCTCTTGCAAGCTGCAACTCTGCCTATGTGGTTTTAATATAGAAGTAAAGGGGCTCTAAGAAGCTGTCCAGCCTGACCCAGTAGGTTTCACACTTAATGTCCAAATCTCACTTTACGTCTGCTTTAGAAATGGTAGCTGCTTCCAAGCTTTCTGCTCATATCTGGCAGTCAGGAGACTGCAGGCCTCTCCTGCTTCTTGCTAAACTTTGGGGAAACCAGCCCCTTGCATGTGTTAATAATTTGGGTTTCCATGAACCGGAATAATGCAAGAACAAATCAAAATGAAATCCAAACACACTGTGTAAAAGAAACTTTATTCTCAAAACCAAAAGACTCTCTTCTGAAGGGGAGTCTACAGAAAAGATGGGTGTAGGGACCTGGCTTTATAGGGAACTTGTCCTTTGTGCGAATTTGGGTTGTGGTTTGTGTAGTTTTAACTAGTCCTTCCTATGCAGTTTGGGATACCCCTTCTTTAAGTGTTAATCCTGCTTGAAATCCAGAAAAGATAGATTGTTTAGCCCTCAGAAATGCAAATTATTTATATGGTGTCTCCCCCACTCTGAGAGAATACTTGTCTCCCATGGACCCAATGAGGTGCCAAAGGGAGGTGGGGGTGGAAGGGCAGGTAGGATGCCTTTTAAGTTTCTAATACATACAAAGGAAGCAGCTCCCAGATTACCTTCCTAAAAATGTTCTCTTGCTTTACCTGTTCCCTCCCTCAGAAACCCAGATATTTTTCAATGAAGAAAATAGAAAAAAAGCTAGGAGGTGCAGACTTTATGGATCTTTCTCCCTCCCTTCCCAATTAGGTGCTCATCTACCCTGACCTCGAATCTCAATCCCTTTTAAATCCCCTTTAACCACCTCATTTTTTAAATGCATGCCTAAAAAGAGAGTGACAAAATCTAAGTTACTTACAATGATGAGTAGCTTGCTGGTTAAAGATAGAGGAAATTAAGTAAAGGATTTTAATTTTTTTAAAAGTGGAGAGATGGAGCATGAAGGAAGCAAAAAAAAAATCCTTATGGAAGTTATGTGGACAGGAAAATACTCTACAAAGCTATCGGAAGCATATCACATGCATGTATGGATATTCTTAGAGCCAAGGTGGCGCAGTGGTTAAATGCAGCACTGCAGGCTACTGCTAGATCAGCAGGTCAGCGGTTCAAATCTCACCGGCTCAGGGTTGACTCAGCCTTCCATCCTTCCGAGGTGGGTAAAATGAGGACCCAGATTGTTGGGGGCAATATGCTGACTCTCTGTAAACCGCTTAGAGAGGCCTGAAAGGCCTATGAAGCGGTATATAAGTCTACTGCTATTGCTATTCTTAGTCATCCAGGTCATGGTTGCCCCAAAAGGCAACTTAGTTTGACTTCTCATTCAGGAAGCTTCTTCAGCTCTGACCAAATTGTGAGGGATGGAAAGATTTATATTCCTTGCAGTCATCTGCTCATTAGCATTCTTTCTGAGAGTCATTGAGGCCACTTGAAATTTTATCGGTGTCCTCAGGGTCACCTGAAAAATGCAAATGCCTTCATTGGAACTGCTGAAAGGATTGTAGTATAAACAGGATATAGATGGTGGTGTAAGATGTGGCATATCCCTACCCTCTGTTGAGAGAGGGCTGTTCACTCTTAATGTAGATTGCCTCTTTGGCTCTTCTTTCAGACTACTGGTCCTCTCTATCCAGACATATGTGCAGTAAACAGTTGTGACAGAAGCTTGGCCCTACATGGTTTCAGATATGCAACAAAAAGCTGCCCAAAGCTTTACAAACTTTTTTTTCTCCTTGTCTAACTCCTTTTAGGATCCAGTTTTTGCTGCTGTTGTGTGATACGTGTACAATTGATACAGCTATGCAGGCTGGAGAATTATGGGAGTTGAAATCCACAAGTCTTAAAGTTGCCAAGTTTGGGGACCTCCTGCCTAGCAAGAGATTTCCTGACTGCCAGCTGATCAAGACAGAGGCCGGCCCATACACATTGTCTCTGTAAAATGCCACCAGTGAATAGATCACTGAGCTTCCTCCCTGCTGTTTCAAAGCATCAGGACTTCTCACAGTCAACTTCTAAGTTTCTTTGGAAGCCTCTTTGACACTGAACACAGCACTGAGCTCTAACTGAGTTGGGCACTTCCCCATGCTATCCTGTTTTTGGCTTTTCAAAGCTTTTTGCTATTTGTTTGCTTCTTATTTGGATCCAGCTGGGTAGTGGGCCCTCCAGGGCCTCTCCAACCTCTGTGCTCTGCTTGATAACCTGTTTGCTCATTTAATGACTGTATCAGGGAGAGCAGGGGTGGGGGTCGTTAAGCAAGACGGTTTCACTTAGACTGTTTCAAACTCCATTACGGTAATAGGTGAGGATTACCTGTATTTATTCAACTAATATGTGAATGTATACTGAGGGAAGATGAATTGGAAATTAACAAAATCGTCATAAACCTGCATTATGATTATGACACTGCTCAGCTAAATATTTGTTAGATTTTTATCACACCTTTATTACTTTATAAGTAATCCAAGGTGGCAAATATACACATGACTCCTTCCTCATCTTATTTTTCTCCACAATAACAACAACAACAACAACTCTGTGAGATGGGTTGGGCTGAGAAAAAAAACAACTGGCCCAAAGTCACCAAGGTAGCTTTCATGCCTAAAGTGGGACAAATTCACAGTCTCCTGATTTCTGGGCCAGTACCTTGAGTACTATACCAAATTGGCTATCCAAATGATATGCAAATTCTAGAAATAAAAGTCAAGGAACCAATGACATTTGCAAGCCATGACAGTCATTAAATTAGGTAATTAGATGATCAACTCAATTAATGACCCCAATTCCTACTTTCCTCAATGATGTTAAAGTAGAGCATAGAGTGCCTCAAGGTGCCTCTCGGGGCTTTTCATCCCATGGTCAGCTTTCTGCCCCTCAGAATACCCAAAGACCCTGACCCTGCTTTCCCCACACACATCAGGTCTTAATGGGTATTAGGTCTGCTATCCACCTGACTAGTCCCCACAGCATTCTACCCCTATCACTAGTCACACACTTATCTTTGGAAAACCTCCAGAAGTCACATTGGGGAAGGAGGACAAACTGCTTCACCCCTTGACATCCTTGGGCTATATGACATTGTTCTTGAAGTAGGAACCATTTTTGGAGCAGCTACAATTCATTGGGGCCCACTGGGGTGGAATGGGGGAAAATAAATGGAGGAATTGCTGCAGTGTCCTGCATTCAGTTATAAAAGCAAAGACCACAGAGGTACTGCAGCAGGTGTAACTTCAAAACTGGGTCATAAGTAGCTTTGGAGGGGGATCTGTTGTAACTTGGAATGGTCACTATGCAACCAGTTTCAAGTTCAAGATATATGTCATAGTCTAGCAGAGTGTTGGTGAACCTTTTCAGCACTGAGTACTGGATCTTCCGATTTCCGGCATGCACATGCCAGCTGGTCTTCATGCATCCATGTGCACCAGAAGACCAGATGGCCAGTGCACATGTGTGTGCCGTAAATCAGAAGATCAACTGCCCCCGCAAGCATATGCACTGGGCGGCTGCTCTTCCGGTTTCCTGCACTGCATGAGGAACAGCTGGCTGGCATACCACAACCTGGAAGAGTAACGGGTGATGGCTCACATGCCATTTCCAGCACTCATGCCATAGGTTCGCCATCACAGGTCTAGGACTTGATTGAAGGCCTTGGAAATCAATCAGATGTTGGGGTGTATCTACCAACAAAGATCAGAATCATGCAGGAAATGATTTTTTTTTGGTGAACCAGAAAGAGGGCTGAGAAAATACCTACAGACCCCTCACATCCTGGACATAATCTATTTCAACTTCTCCCCTTAGGATGCCGCTATAGAGCATTACATGCCAAAACAAACAGACCTAAAGATAGTTTTTCCCCCATGCCATCACTCTGCTGAAAACTTAATTCCCACAGTACTGCCTCATTTCTCATCTTTTCTCATCTTCAAATCTTTCCTGCTATCTTCTCCGATTAGTTTCTTATGACTATCAATTGTTGTTTGTAACTTATCATTAATTATTGTAACTATGATTATGACCTATGACCTATTACTTGCTGTTTATTTGTACACTGACGTTATGGACTGGAAACAAATTCCTTGTATGTCTGATCACACTTGGTCAATAAAGAATTCTATTCTATCCCATCCTATCCTATCCTACCCAAATATAGATGTAGAATAGACAAATGTTGTGATAATAAAAATC